AGAACTATTATAGAGTAATTGCAAAAGAAATAATTATGCATACGCAAGAAGGAAGTCTATACAAGTTGTGTACACTTTGTTCTCTTTTCATACTGCAATGTCAAAAGAAAGATTTCCACTGAACAGTGAACATGGATGAGGAAATGTGATTCCTTAAATTTTAAAGTGAGGTGTGAAGTTCCAAGATTTTCAAAATGTTCAGCCCGAAACAATATGGTTTCTTTTCTTCCTCTTAAATTTATAAGACTGGGGTCCCCAATTATGAAGAGGCTAAAACGCATGAACTCTGCAATTTACCTGCAGGATTGTGCCATCATAACCCTGCTTATGTGTGTGGGTTAGTTCTGCAGACCGTCTGACCAAATTTACAAGTTCCTCATAGTTGGAATAACAAAAGAGGGCTAGTGGAGACACTCTCATGGCACCCCCATTTCCATATGAGCCTGATCCATCAAACTGCTCTTTTGCAGGACCAAAGGGGTCCTCAAACTTCTGTGCTCGCAATTTATGGAAAATGTCAACAACTTGCTGTCCATATCCATGTCTTGGATTGTTGAAATATTCCTTCACAAATCTTAAAGAAAAAGAAACAGAATTCAGAAAACAGCTATGAGAACACCAGTCATCAAAGTAACAGCTTTCAAATACAATATAACTTGTACTGTCTGTTGAGTGTCTCTTTTCACCTACCACTCTACCCAGTTCATACAGTTATTAGGTGATTAATGCTAAACTACCAACACCAGATGATTTAAGTCAGTTAAATAAATATCCTAAGGTTGTAGGATGTGACACTTTAAGCTCACATCAACTACATGCATGGACTGCAAAGATTTCAGTATCTATAAATTTAGAAGTGTAAGAATGATGGAAATAACAAAAAACAGGCAGCAAAAGTAGGCATAATAACTACAAGAACTGTGTACTTAAGACACATATGGCTAAGGAATTCAACTGTCTGCTCATAACACAGAGCTGCGTGTATATGCTGAATTTATTAAACTGCACAAACTGATTTCTGAATCAATTTTTTCTAAATCAGTGTTCTGTAGTTCTTACTAAAGGTCAGTTCCCTTACCAGCCTATTCTGAATCATTTGGCATGACACCCTGGAATATTTGCACAGTATAATATCAATACATTCGCCAATATTTTCGCCTTTATTAAAAGTGCAAAGGAAACATAATTGAATAATTCGTAATTTCTCACCGTTTAGCAATATCAAGTGCATCAAATTTTTCTTGAGCTATCAAGGATTCTGCAAGACATTTTGTCATTGCCGCATCGTCTGTATATTGCTTCACAGGTGCTGTAAATATATGAAATGCTAGGTTGTGGCATCCAAGTTCTGTATTGTATACTACAATCAGATGAAAGCAAGTTCTAAACAATCCTTTAATATTATTAGCATAGCCTTAATTACTGATAATATTTACACATACATTTAAAATATGGGCCTTCCAACTTTTCGAAGTATTTCTGTAGTACACTTTTAGAAATGCCATAATCCCCTTCATATGGAGCACCAAGGCAGTCCCCCAATAAACAACCAACTAAGCATCCCCTGAACTTGCTTGCAAGTGAGATACTATCTATTACAGCCATAATTTCTTTGACTGTTTACAACAGTATTGCGGGGCGGAAAATATCTAACAAAACGACCAGAACCGAAAGATATCCACTTTATTCTGACATACATCCGAACCGCGACTAGTTTCTGTTTCCCAACTTATGCGAAACACAGAAAACTCCAACGTCCCTTGAACCCGCCAAATAGATGCATTTTTCAAGCGAATCACGGACCGGTGTGTACACATCACTGAGCTACTAGCATAGCGATCCGTGCGACACCGGTTACCGCCCGCGGCACGGATTGGGAGTCGGTCACCGTGTTCAAGGTCCACCACGGCGACCACGACACGACCACTTCTTTCGTGCATTCGTGCCTTATAATTAGGGACCGGATTTTTATACCCTAATAATCCCTTAAATATGTATGTATTTATGCATGAAAAACTTCCGAAATATGCACTAAAATATGCACATAAAAATTTATACCAAATATTAAAATTGATTTTACATTATTGTAAGACCAACAAATCAATATTTAAGTTCGTTTTATGTAATCACTGAATGATTCACTTGCAATAAAAAGCTATACTTAAATACAAATCATGCAACAAAGCCAACATATTTCATTACAAATAAAAAAAAACAATGGTACTCACATTTAGCTCTCCGAACTTTCAACTTCTCTTCTGTTACAGTTCACAGTTTCTAAATGTTTCAGGTTTTCCATAGTTAGTCACCTCCTGTTGTCTCGTAAGATGTCCTTATAGCGGTAAAAACTTCTTTCCACCTCACAGGAACTTAGGGGCGCATGTACAAAAGCCGCTATTTGCTCCACTGTTAGTGATTTTTTACTTGGCAATTCAGTACGTTTACCGGCTAAAATTTCTTCAGTTTCACAAATTTGTTCATATCCTGGATTTTTTTAAAAGAATGCTGTGTACTTTTTCCTTTACTATTTCACCATCTCTTCCAGGAACCGAATTCAATTTGAAAACAGTGGTTTTGAAAACACTTAACGACTGATACAAAGTAGTATAGCTATTGCTTGCCTCCTCCAGTGAGGAAATGACGGATGAAAGATGAGAGAAGTGAGCAGATCTATATAGCTTTGCGTTTTTAGTACATCTTGGGCAATTTGAATTGATGCTGCACTTTTGAGATCAAATGTATTCACGACATTCCTGTTTCTAAATGTTCGGAGGTTAGTGGTTAAGGTACTATGCTACAAGCAGGAAGGTCGCGGGTTCAAGTCCCGATGAGGTCACTGCATTTTTTTTCAATTGACCTAATCCTTCCGGCCGCACTAGGCCCTGGTGTTTACTCAGCCTCTAACAGAAATGAGTACCAGGAATTAGTTAAATAATTTTCCTGGGGAGTGAAGCGCGGCCAGAGCGTAAGGCCGATTGTCAAGGTAATGTGGGACCCTTGTCGAACTCCTCTTCCAATCTGCACACTTCTTGTCTCCCCTCTGTCCAGTCGTACTCTAACTTTCTGATCCATGTACAATTTGCTAATCAATCTTCTTCCACGCCAATCGATACATGTGTCCTTTAGGATCTGCATTAATTTGGTCCAATTTACACAGTCAAATGCCTTCTGCCACTCTATGAACCACTTTCTCCCAGTAACATAAGCACATCCCCCAGGTACATCATCATCTCCTGTAGCTTTTCCATTTCTCAAGTCCTTGATAGCTTTTTCCACCCCACTTTTTTAAAATACAGAGCTACTATAAATGATTCATTCGTTTTTAAAACGCTATATTTTCCAAAGCATTATACATACAAATATGATTGATATGTAAGAGAACCATAAACTCACCAAGTTTTTTTCACACTCTACAAATGTTCTATGTGTGCCCCTTGGGTCACACGACACATATCCAGGCGGTAGTGGAGCTCGTTTCACACATTTTGTAGCATCATCCTGTCAATGGTCATCACTGCAACATCGATGCGTTCCCTCAGCTCTAGTAGTGTTCTTGGCAGTGGGGGTACTTAAACACGATCCTTAATGTACCCCCAAAGGAAGAAGTCACAAGGCGTTGGATCAGGTGATCTGGGGGGCCAAGTGAAGAGAGCTACGTCATCCTAACCAACACGCCCAATCCAGCGATGCCGAAGTTCATTGTTTAGGTAGCGACGAATATTGATGTTCCAATGAGGGGGTGCCCCGTCTTGTTTGAAGACAAAATCCCCGGAATCATCAGCCAGTTGTGGAAACAACAATAGCTGCAACATATCTAGGTAAGATATGCCAGTCACAGTTTTCTCACAAAAGAAAAACGGCCCATAGAGCTTTGTCTGTGACACTGCACAGACAACATTCACCTCTGGGGAATCTCTTTCAAGTGCTACAATTGCACGAGGATTTTCAGTGCCCCACAATCTCACATTGTGACGATTAACCTTCCCGGATAAATGGAATGTTGCTTCATCGCTGAATATCAACTTGGCGGCGAAATCTTCATCCTCCCATGCTTGCTGCATTGTGACGCAAAATTCCAGGCACCGGCCATAATCTTCCGGTTATAATTGTTGCAGGAGCTGCAGACGGTACGGTTTGAAATGTAACCGTCGTCGCAAAATCTTCCATACAGTTTGCTGCGGTAGTCCAAGTTCGCGGCTTGCTCGGACCGTTGATTTTTGTGGACTACGCACAAAACTTTCCCTCACTCTCTCCACTGTTTCATCTGGCACATTTGGTCGACCGGTGCTTTTCCGTTTACACAGACAACCAGTGTCCTTAAATTGCCGACACCACCGCAAAATGCTTTGTTTACATGGCGGTTCTTTTCCGTACGCTCTTTTGAATGCGCGTTACACTGCTATAACAGTCGAACATCTCGCATATTCCAACAAACAAAAACTCTTTTCCTGCTTTGTCGCCATTTTGTAAAAGCACTGAATTTGTGCTGCCAACTGGTGCACACAATACAAACTTGGTGAGATTACGGTTCTTTTTATATATCAATTGTATTTGTACGTGTAATACTTTGGAAAATATAGCTTTTTAAAAACGAATGAACCATTTATAGTAGCCCAGTATATGGTTCTTTCTCGTCTGTATCTACTTCTTCTTCCGGTTCCATTTCCAAGGTTTCTGGCCGATTAGGTCGATCATATAGTTCTGTAATATAATTTTCCCAAATTTTCAGCACTTGCCTCTGATCTACTATTCTATTCCCCTGGGAGTCTTCGATTCCAATATTTTGAATCCCCTGGCTCTCTTTCGAGCCTAGTACTTTTGTCTTCATGTACATCAAATCATAACGTCCTGTCCTTTGAAATTCTATATACTCATTACATATTGTACTGCCATAAGGGGGGGGGACTAGGACGATTCGCTGAAGACTTCGGTATTCACTCTGTTGGTTGGGAGTCAATGCCTCTCCTTCCGTTTCCTTTGCTCCTCCATTTTACTCATTATATCCTGTGTAACCCATGGATTTCTTGCTATCTTCTCAACTTTACCAATCACATTACTGATAGTATCTAACATGCATTCTTGTACAGTGAAACCCCGATCTATCGTTCCCGGATATATCGTTTTCCCGGATTCATCGTTCAATTTTTGTGGTCCCTGAACAAATCCTCTTTAAACTATGGAAATAATACCCGCATCGATCGTTCTTCGATTTATAGTTTTCCCGAAATTATTGGTCGGAATTCTTGGTCCCCATGAATGTTAATCCCGCATTGATCGATTTTAAGAAAGTGCAACACCACACACATTTTAGTAAGCATTGGTGGTAGTAAAAGCGGTTGAGGTTTTTGAAACGTAGTGTAGCAAATTGCAACACCGGCGTTGACTTTGACGCCTATGTGTCTATGGACCAAGAGCTCGCGACATGTGATGTGCTGTGTGTTGAAGAAATGTGTGGTGTGGTGTGGTGGGAAGTGGAAGTTGCGTGGAGGGAGGGCAAAGTGATCGAAGGTGATGGTGGTGATGATGACGACGAAGCCGAGTCCGAACCAGTGCCCAATTTTACGCAAGCACTTCGTGCATTTGAGTCAGTAAGAGCGTTCGTATATGCTCACGACATCACCGAAAGAGAGCAAGCGAACATTGTTAATATTGAAAGATTATTATTCAGCTTGAAAAGGAAAGGTGCTACCAAACAAATGAAAATTAATGACTTTTTAAAAGTAGTAACGCAAATTGGACTTGACAGTGGAAATATTATCACTGGTTTACGTTTTTTGATTTAGTAAATACATATAGGCAAATGTGACCGTTTTCATTCATTTTATATAGGCTCCGCATCTATCGTTTTCCGCTCTCACCTTCAATTGCACTGAGTTTCTCTTCTAGGGTCTCCTGCACGCTTTGTCTTTGAGCATATAACCTCTAAATCCCATCTAGGTATGCGCTTTTGGAATCTTAAAATTTTCTTCAACCTAGTTGGGAACTTGGCAACCAGTAAGTTGCGGTCAGAGATAATATCTGCCCCAGGCAGCGTCTTCACATCCTTCACACTGTTTCTGAATCGATGTTTCACAAGGATGTAGTCCAGCTGATGCCGTCTCCAATCCCCAGGTGCCTTCCATGTGTAAAGTCTTCCCTTTGGCTTCTTGAACCAAGTGCTGGCAACAATCAGTCCATTTCTTTCACAAATGTCAATGAGCATTTGACCCCTGTGATTCCGTCTTCCTAATCCTTGTGATCCAACAATAATCTGATATGGTTCATCTCCAACAATGCTATTCCAGTCTCCCAATATGATGCTGTTTGTGTCACCTCTTCCATCTTCCTGAAGAATTTCTTCAATTGTGTCATACACTTTTCCATTTCATCATTTTCATACTCTGATGTTGGAATGTACACTTGCATAATAAGTATATCTACCAGTTACGCCTTTAACTTCAGAGCAATAATTCTGTCATTACAAGCAATCTTCTTAACAACACTCCTCACTACACTTTTATGCACCACTGTTGCCACACCTCTTTCACCCCGTTCTTCTCCAGAATAATACACTGTATAATCACCACTTCTTATTTCACCTTTTCCTTTCCATCGCACTTCGCTGACACCTAAAACAGACACCTCATACTTCTGCATTTCCGTTTTCAAATTCTCCAATTTGCCTTCTTGATTCAAGGTCCTCACAT